TGCGTCACGCGCGCTGTGGTATGCTCTAAAAACTTTAAACGCGTTTTTCTCGAAACCATGTTTTTCAACAAAATTACGCGTCCACAGCTTCATCCTGTGAACCGATTTGCTTCATGTAAAATTTTTATGAAAGTAGATGCTTTTCTTTAGGGCACTAACCTACTCCGGAAAAAAACAATAATTTATTTATAATTTTTCAACGTGGTTTAACTGAAAAAAAATGTACGAAAATCGAACTTTAAAATTCGAACGTTCATTACGCAGTCAATTTATGGCCGCAATTTGATGCCACTAGGTTAGTGCCTCGCACAAGTATATTAACTTTACATAATGGTAACAATTTTCTATTTCTGTTGACTACAAGAGGCTGCAGGCTCGTAGTTTTGGGACGATGTTTGCCGCGCGGAGGCAGACGAAAGCCGCCATTTTGCAGCCGCCATTTTGAATTTCACCATTAAATAAATTTTAAAAAAATCTTGAATAATAAACGAATTCAAAAAGCAAAACCCGAAGTTCGTACGCCTTTTCATTATCCCACAAAAAATTGACGAACTTTGCCTTCATTTCGACCAAAACAAAGAGAACGTCCCCTTAAAAATATGTTTCTGGAATGCGAATGGCATTTCTCAGCACAAATATGAGCACTTGCAGTTCCTAGATCAGTATGACATTGACGCCATGCTTATATCAGAGACTCACCTAACTAACAAAAACTACTTTCACCTAAATGGCTATTTATTTTATAAAAAATCGTGATGGCAAGGCTCATGGCGGCACTGGCATACTGATCAAGAAACGCATCAGGCATTATGAGTAGCCATCATTCGCAACAACCTTTTTACAAGTTACATCAATACACATCGATACCCAAAGCGGTTTCCTAAACCTATCCGCTGTATACTGCCCACCACGCTACTCCATTTCCGAAGATGAATTTGTACAGTTCTCTGACCTATTATGTGACCTTTTTATAGCGGCTGGTGATTACAATGCGAAACACCCCCATTGGGGCTCTCGACTCACCAATCCGAAAGGAAGACAGTACAACGCTATAACAACACCAACAAACAAGCTTGACCTTATCTCTACAGGTAAGCCTACATATTGGACAACAGATAACCAGTAACCTCACAAGCGGAATGGGCCCGTGCAATGTATGAATTGTCAGAGATACGGTCATAGGAAAACTTACTGCACTCTACGTGCAGTCTGCGTTGCCTGCGGAGATGCACACTCAACTGAGGTCTGCCCAATAAACAAGGAGAACTATTCTGCGAATTCTGGGGGAAACCACACTGCAAATTACAGTGGTTTCCTGTCTATAAAGAGTTAAAAAGTCGACTAGGCCAACATTTAACTATAGCTTGAAATCCTGTAACCCGAAACAATTCTCCATATATATCATCGACCACGACCCCAGGAGTTTCTTTTGCACAGGCGTTAAGTTACAGCAACGCCTCAGCATCTAAGCTAACAGATTAGCAATCCACTGCTGCTACAGTACGGCAACAAACATTGAACCAGAGTTCAGAAACTACTGGCCTAATGGCGTACAGGCAATGCTGGTTACTACAACCAACACAATGGTAGCAATACAGCAATGCGCTTACAAAATCTCCTTTTGGAGCTGTTAATCAAACAAAAATCTGTTTAGATGGTTTCCTTAAAAATATGTTTCTGATATGTAAACAGCATTTCACAGATCAGTATGACATTGACGGCAAGCTGATATCAGAGACTCACCTAATAAACAAAAATTATTTTCACCTCAGTGGCTATACATTTTATGAAACCATCCTGTTGGCAAGGCTCTTGGAGGTACTGGCATACTGATCAAGAAACGCATCGGGCACTATGAGTTGCCATAAGTTGCAACAGCTAATATACAAGCTACATCAATACTCATCGATACCCAAAGCGGTTTCTTAAGCCCATCCGCTGTATACTGCCCACCACGCTTCTCCATTTCCGAAGATGAATTTGTACACTTCTTTGACCTATTATGTGACCTTTTTAAAGCGGCTGGTGATTACAATGCAAAACACCCCCATTGTGGCATAGCTGTTCAACGCTATAATAACACCAAGACGGAAGCTTGACCTTTCCTCTTCAGGTAAGGCTGCATATTGGCCAAAAGATTCTAATTTCTTATTATCAGGCTTCTGCCTGACGTTATGGATTTTGCCTAGAGTTCGTGTTCATCGCACATATTTTCTAACTTCCAGTAGAACAGATTGGCTTAGGGCGCTCAACTAGTGTAAAGTTTAAAAAAAAAAAAAAAAAAAAAAAAAAAAAAAATTTCCGTGATTACACCGTTAAAAATAACACATTAAAATTTCAAATTGATACCTCAAATAGTTTTTGAGTAATAGCAATTTAAAGAGCAGCCGCTCTTATAACAGTGCAAACGATCATTTTTTTTATCTTTAAACGCGTTTTTTTCGAAACGGCATTTTCCGAATTTGCTGCAGGGATTACTCAAAAACAAATGATCCGATCACTATCGAATTTTTTTTATATGTTCTATATATAGTTCTCCGTACAATAACCTATAGATTTTTTGATCTGATCAAAAATCGAATTTTGGCAGGCCAAAACCGACCAAAATGTTGGGAAAAATTCGTCTTTTTTAAAAAAAAACGCCGCTATTTTGTCAATTTTTTATAATCTAGTGTAACGAGAATTTTATTTTTTTTTGGTTTCATCCACGAAGGAGGCCGGAATCACTGCAGCAGTGAAGGACCTTCTTTTTTTAGCGCCGTTGGAGATCGACTATAACTTGAAAAATATTTAAGTTTTTCTTCAACAATTTCACTGCATATTCTTAAAACATGTATAAATATATTCTGAAAATTTTGAAATAATTGATTAAGTAGTTTTTTTAATAAAAATTCCAAAACATCACCTTTTTTTTAGGCCGTCATATTTTTTGTGCCCCATAAATACAGAAAGTATGTAAGTACAGTAGAATCCGCTTATAGCGACTTTCAAGGGACCGAAGATTTTTCGTCGTTATACCCGGAAGACGCACTAAGCAGAAGGATTTAAGTGTATAAGTCTGTCTGGGGACCAATCAAGCCATCGAGTTTTTTATAAGCGGAGTCGTTATAACAGGATTCTACTGTACTTAAATTGATGGATTCCCAAACATATGTCACTAGCTGTACAACACTCCACACCTATTATATCGCCTTGTAATTTTAATTCTAATTCTAGCAGCAGTCGAGCTGCTGAACAACGAACTGTTAGACCACAGATCGCCTGCCTCGAAGAGGCGGCTTAAAACTGCCAACTATCTTCTGCGCATAGCCCTAGAAGATGAAAATAATCGATCTCAATTATTCTATTTGCAGAATCTTTCCCCAAACAACAGACGATATCCACTGTGGAAAGCTAAATCGGGTATATCGACGAATTTCCGCGAATGTATCGTATGTTGAAAAATCAAATTTTGCAGGAGAAGCTAGCTTCGGCAAGCCGAAGCTTATATACCCTTGCAGTCATCAAATATTTCGAACAGAATACACAAAGACTTGATACTCAAAAAATCATAGTCGTGTGATGAAAAACAATGACGTTATCAATTAAATTCCATTAATTCTATATATATTTTTTGATTTCTCCTATGGCAGTTATATGATAGAGTTATCCGATTTCGATAACATTTAATCCGAAATTCAATAGTAGTCAGAAAATGCCCTCTGGAAGAAATCAAGTCGATCTGATTAAAAACGACGGAGTGAGATTTTTTTTCCAATCTCTCGTATGGCAGCTATCCGATATAGTCGGCCGATCCGGCTCGTTCCGACTTATATACTGCGTGCAATAACTACACAACTTTTGGGAAAGTTTCAGCAAGATAGCTTAAAAACTGAGAGACTAGTTTACATAGAAACAGACAGACGGATTTCGAATCAGATCGTGATGCTGATCAAGAATATATATACTTTATAGGGTCTGAGGTGCCTCCTTCACTGCGTTGCAAACTTCTGACTGAAATTATAATACCCTTTGCTCTGCAAGGGTATAAAAAGAATGCGCGAGGACACGAATTAATATCTCCTAAAATGATCGTAGAATTAACGAACTGCCAATCAGTCTCCTGCCGTGCCTTTCAAAGATATTTGAAAAGCTGCTCCTGAATCGTATATAATAATAATAATACAAACGGAATTAAGACATTCACAGAGATTTAAGTGTAGGATCTGTTGAAATAGAAATCGACAAAATAAAAACAAAGTATACGATCAAGCTACAAGCTCATCCAAATAGGCTTGCGAGGTCTTTAACCTGGAACTCTAGCCATAAACGACTCCAGCGGAGAGATCTCCCATCCAGCAACAATAGCTAGGACCGTTCATTTTCTAAAAACTTAATTTTAACTAATTTAAGATATGTATTTGGCTAAGATTTGAATACTTGTCGTAAGACTCGAAAAATAAAACACCATAATTAAAAAAAATATATATACATATACTCCCTTGATCAAAAAGTTCCCGACTTTTATTAATAAAATCAAAAATACAAAGTAATTCATCAAAATCAATATTGTCCCCTTCAAAGTACTCCCCATCGACTGCAACGCACTTATGCCAGCGCTTGATCCAATCCTCAAAACACTTTTTAAAGTCAGCTCGCGGTATGGCCATCAGATCCATCTTCGATTTTTCCATGATCTCATCTCGGCTGCTGTAACGCGTTCCGCGGAGCTGTTTTTGAAGTCGACTGAACAGGTAAAAGTCGCAGGGAGCCAAATCCGGTAAATTCGGTGGTTGTTGGATGGTATTGGTGCTGTTTTTAGCCAAATGGTCACGGATAATTAAGGCGTTTTTTGTATGAAATTCAGTTCTTTTGGCACCAACTTTGCAGCGATGAGTCTGAAACCCAAATCATTAGCCAAAATATCTTGAACGGTTCCAAAAGCAATGTCCGACTCCTCTGCCATGTCTCTAATAGTCAATTTGCGGTTTATGGCCATCCAGTCTTTGATTTTGCCGATGTTTTCGTCCGTTTTCGAAGTGGATGGCCTGCCAGAACGGTCATCATCGTTGATGGAATTACGTCTAGTTAGTTTTAAAGCATTGTCACCGAAACACTTCTCCAACATTTCTAAAGTAGTCAGAACACTAATTTCATTTTTAACACAAAATTTAATGCAAATTCGTTGCTCTGGTTTTCTATCCATTTTTTAAAATCAAAAAAATCGAAGACACGCTCAAAGGTTAATGTAAACAACACAACGTAACTTTGACAAATGTCAATCGATGACGCTGAAAATTGGTGGGAATATAAACAACAGTTCTACCAATTTATTGAAATCGTTTGACTGGGAGCGCCACACGGTGGCAAAGTCGGGAACTTTTTGATCAAGGGAGTATACGCTAGTTTAGCAGCGGATTAAATTGAAAATTTTATTGTTTTGTGGCACAACAGGAGCTTTGAGAAACTATATTAGATTGTTCAATAAGTTTTGTCGTTGGATAACAGAGGAGGGTGTTGCCACTAGCCCAAATTTTTTTGGTTTTGTTGGTACAATCTTCATATGAAAGCACATATGTTAAGTTTAATTTCAATCAGTCAAATATTTAATAATTGAATATTGTGCAGTGATAGAATTCTTATTTTTGGAAGGGATAGCACCGAAAGCAATTCACTAACGAACGTTAAAAGAGTACCTATTATCAAAACATTAGAAAGATGTGTTGCTGAATTAAAACGTGGTCGTATAAGCCTTAAAGACGACCCACGTGAAGAACGGCCATAAAGTCATAGTCAAAATACAGAATTATTGGAGCATTCACCGTATTCACCAGGTTTGGCCAAAGCGACATCCGTTTGTTTCCAGAGCTCAAAAAATGTGTGCGTGGCAAGCGTTTTTCATCAAATGAAGAGATCATAACTGTTAAAAGGTATTTTGAACATTTTTCGGATTTTCCATTCAGGGATGGGATCCACAAATTTAAGGATCGTTAGAGCAAGTACCTATACTGGGGTGGTCAAAAGTATTTTCACAAAATAAAAGTGAAATATACTCGTAACTTGATCTTGCTCCTCTTAACTTTTGGCATCAATGCAAAAGTAATTTAAATGCCGTTTGAATGATGCACTACTTTTCTTAACCCATTCAGGACTTATTGAAAATTCCAAATTTGTGTGAAAGACTAAAAAATTTAAATGTTTTGATGCAAAAAGTTTGTTCAAACAAAAATAATAGTAACTGCATAAAGAATTTTTCAAAAATAATTTTTCTTTTATTTTTTATGATTTTTCGAAGGTTGTCGGAAAAAATTTGTATGGAAAAGAGAAAAATATGGCTTAAATGCGTATTTCTAAACATTTAAAAAAAATCAAAACAAATATAAACAACATTTTTTTTTTAATATTTTTGCAGTTATTATTATTTTTGTTTTAAGAAACTTTTTGCATTCAAAAATTTTAGTTTTCAAGACGAGGGGAAAATTATGTACCATTGATACTAAAAGTTAAATGAAGCAAGTTCAAGTTTCGAGTATATTTCACTTTTATTTTGTCAAAATACTTTTGACCACCCTTATTTTTATGTTCAGGGAGAGTATTCTGAATAATAAATGGTATTTTGAAACATAAAATTGTGTTTTTCTAATCGAACGACAAAACTTATTAAATAAAGGCAATATTCAACAGATCGCAATTTTTTTTATGATTATTGATATATGATTGCATGATATGATCAATAAATATGATATGATTGAATTATGCATAAGATGAGAAATTTAAACAAAAACAAGAAAGGAAGCTAGCTTCGGCAAGCCGAAACTTATATATCCTTGCAGTCATCAAATACGTGGAACAAAATGCATAAAGGCTAAACAACATCGAAGCTAAGGCGATTTTTCTATTCATTTTTCATATTTTCGACTATAGATCATATAGGAGCTATATGATACAGTTGTCCGATTTTGATCAAATTTAACGATGTTATAATTTTATTTCCATTATTTTTATATATATATTTTTCGATCTTTCCTATGGCAGCTATAAGATATAGTTGTCCGATTTTATATAAACTGTTTTCTTAATACATACACTGCCGCTCAACTGAATAGGTTCATGATCTCAGAGGAAGTAATTTGTCTATAATTCCTAAGCCAGTGTACCGATTTCCATAATTTTTTTTTCTTTAACTCTTGAATCATTTTATAATAAAATGCTGAAGAAGGTTTTTCAAAAACATATTATTTATTCCTTATTTAATTTTTCTTCTGAAAGGTTAACCAAATTCATGATTTTTTTTTGGGTCATCTGAATAGGTTCAACCTAAAACAATTAAAATTATTTAAGTAACTGAGGATAATTTTCATATTTTTTGAACTTGGCTGATACTTATGAACATTTTTAGAGTACATTTTACTAATTTTAATAAAAAGTGAACCCTCCGTTGTCCGATATAACATCATATACACGACCGGGAAGCGAGCTTTACAAATTGTGCAGTATTTGCAGTGAAATGGTTGTCCAGGCTAATTTAATATGATAGATTTGTAGGTTTCCGCGCTCGTTTTGCAAGTAACAAATTAAAGGTCGCAAGTGCCAAACCGACCCCCACACCATTACCCCACCCTCACATCTATGTCGACGGCTAAGGAAATGCTCTTCCTTTTGAAGATCGTGATAATAATAGTTGTAGCTATTGATTTACGCTTCTAGATTAAATTGATTTCGGTGTGGGGGTCGGTATCAGTCTTTGGCACTTGCGACCTTTAATTTGTTACTTGCAAAACGAGCGCGGAAACCTACAAATCTATCATAAAGGCTGCGTTTCCTGATTATTTAAGTACTTTTCACTTTATCAAATGGTCTTACCAGTACGATAACGCTCCCATCATACAGCTAGGGTGGTAAAAGAGTGGATTAAGGCTCAAAATGTGGACTTACTTGAATGGCCCCCCATATTCACCTGACCTTCATATAATCGAAATCGTATGGGGGTTGCTATCGCGCAAGATATATGAAGGAGGCAGGTAATTTTCTTGCAAAAAAACTTTAGTTAAGGCAATTAAAATAGCCTGGACAACCATTTCACTGCAAATACTGCACAATTTGTAAAGCTCGCTTCCCGGTCATCGGTGTTATATCGGACAACGGAGGGTTCACTTTTTATTAAAATTAGTAAAATGTACTCTAAAAATGTTCATAAGTATCAGCCAAGTTCAAAAAATATGAAAATTATCCTCAGTTACTTAAATAATTTTAATTGTTTTAGGTTGAACCTATTCAGATTACCCAAAAAAAAATCATGAATTTGGTTAACCTTTCAGAAGAAAAATTAAATAAGGAATAAATAATATGTTTTTGAAAAACCTTCTTCAGCATTTTATTATAAAATGATTCAAGAGTTAAAGAAAAAAAAATTATGGAAATCGGTACACTGGTTTAGGAATTATAGACAAATTACTTCCTCTGAGATCATGAACCTATTCAGTTGAGCGGCAGTGTATAAGGGTTGTTAAAAAACTTGATATTTAAAAAAATCATGCTCGTGGGATAAAAAACAACGATGTCATTAATTCTTTCCATTAATTCTATATATATTTTTCGATCACTCCTATGGCAGCTATACGATTTTGATAAAATTAAATTCGAAATTCAATAATAGTTAGAAAACGCCATCTGGAAGAAATCAAGTCGATCTGATTAAAAACAACTGCGTGAGAATTTTTTATTTCATTCTCTCGTATGTGAGCTATCCGATATAGTCGGCCGATCCGGCCCGTTCCGACTTATATACTGCGTGCAATAACTACACACTTTTTGGGAAAGTTTCAGCAAGATAGCTTTAGGCTGCAAACATAGTGCGCGCTGAGACGAAGATTGAGATGAAAATGAAGCTGAAGACGAATCTGTTGCGATTTTGTGATGTTCGTCGCAATGGATTTCTTATCAGATGATGAGCTGCTGTTGGAGCAAAGTGTATTTTTTAAATTAAAATATAGCAAAAAAGTGACTGAAAGAATTCACCCAACTAATTTGGGTAGAAAGGCGTTCGGCGAATTTCATAATTTATTTAATGAGCTGCGAATAGATGAAAAAAAAATTTGTGGAGTACACCAGAATGAAAATCAGCACGTTTGATTACATTCTGTTAAAAATTGAACCGCTAATTATTAAAAATTGGACAAATTTTAACAAAACCCCAATTATACCTGTGTGAATTGTAACATGCGCTGCGCCAAAGCATGGGTAGAAAGAGAGAGAAATAATAATAAAGGCAAAATAGCAAGCGATTCGTCTTCAAAAACAGTACTGCACCGTTTGAAGCTGATTGCTTGCGTATCGTCTTCGTCTTTGCGCGCACTATGTTTACGGACGAGCGAATTCATATAAATAGTTTTGCACTGTTTTTCGTCTTCAGCTTCATCTTCATCTTAATCTTCGTCTCAGCGCGCACTATGTTTGCAGCCTTAAAACTGAAAGACTAGTTTGCGCGGAAGCGGACAGACGTACAGACGTATTCTGATTCTACTCGTGATGCTGATCAAGAATATAAATATGTATATACTTTATGGGGTCTGAGGTGTCTCCTTCACTGCGTTGCAAACTTCTGACTGAAATTATAATACCCTTTTGCTCTGCAAGGGTATAATTAAAACAGGGCATAACGTTGTCCCACTTGTGAAAATGTTCCCTCTTTTAATGTTTTTTTTTAATATATTTACATATGTATGTGTGTTTATGACCCTTGTCAAAACTAACAGATCCTCAAATGCTAAAACGCGATTACTCATTTAATGGTTGGCACAAATAAAATCAAAATGTTTGTATAAATATTCTTGCAAAGATGTATACAAACATTTAGATTTCACTTTAAATGGTGACGAAATCATGCTATTTTAATTTTTTTCCTGGTTAATTATTTTATGTAATTATATTATATAAACATAAATTCGTTTAATAATGAATTCACAAAAAAAAATCTATCTCAAAATACACACAAATATATGTATATCTGCAAATGTTGATATGGGTGCCCTGTTTTTCAACCTACTGATATACACACATACATACATAAATTTATAAACATATAGATGCATAACTTACATTATAGTAGTAACGATACATTATTACCACAAAATTATAATGATGAACAAAGAATTCTTGTAATAAGACACATGGAATAACTAATCGATAACCATCAAGTGCCAAGGTTCTGAATTGGCTTAGATATGGTTATAAATAAATGAGCACCATTACATTGCCGAAAATTTAAAAGTACCTGTCAGGTAGAAGTTGTTAAACTTTTGAGCTAGGATTAGAAGGCGTGACAGTTTGACTTCGGTTGAAGACATTTGTCCTGAATTCAGATTGAAAAACAAGCAAATGACTACAGTAACGCCGGCTGTTTACGTCCCCGCCGTTCCTTGTACACTTGAAAAATCGTACTGTTTACTTTGAAGTTTTTGTTAAACTTATTCCTTGTATTGCAATCAGCAAATGAGTGCAAATTCAGCTTTTCAAACTATTTAATCCGATGAAAACACAGGACGAAAGAACAATGGTTTGCAGTGTGGAGTATATTCGATAGCGGAATCCGTTATTAAAAACGTATGACACTTTTATACCTTATTCGCGCTGTCGTTTAAATTAACGTAGAAAATATTGTGAAAACAGTAATTACAGAGTACATTTAGTATGAAAGCAATTTCGGTAATTGTTTACAAGTGCGGTGCACGGTAAATACAGCTTAAAAAAATAAAGTAAAATATGGAATCGATGTGTTTTTTTCTAAAACTTCGAAGTCCGTTGGCGGAGATTAAAAATTTTGCACCGTTTTTTTGTTATTAACAATTAAAGATTCGATTTGTAGTACAAATTCGGGTCTGAGTGACCGTATTTGCATGTGATGTGCCGATTATTGCAGTCGTCTGGTCGCGGATTATTGCAAATACGGTCACTCAGATCCGAATTTGTACTACAAATCGAATCTTTAATTGTTAATAACAAAAAAACGGTGCAAAATTTTTAATCTCCGCCAACGGACTTCGAAGTTTTAGAAAAAAACACATCGATTCCATATTTTACTTTATTTTTTAAGCTGTATTTACCGTGCACCGCACTTGTAAACATTTACCGCAATTTCTTGCCCTACAATAATTTCAACTCAAAATTCGATAAAAAAAAAGATACAGAGAAAAAAATGTACAGAGAATGTGCACCGAAAACCGAAGTCTCACCAAATTAACGTATATTTTGAGATATGATATCTTACGCGTAAGCTGCTTTTGCATGTGAGAACGGTATATATTGAGTATATCAGATTCCTTTGGCCAGCCTCTCACCAATACACTATGGGGCAAACGACCAGTTTTTGTGGCATTATTTAATAACTTGAAAACTAATCAACATTTTTGGGATCTGTTTTTTGATTCGAGTTAATAATAAAATAAGGCATGTATTTTAGGAAAAATAGGAGTGGCTTCGCCCATTTTTTAGATTAAAAAAAATTTTTTTAATGAATAATATTAAAAAAATTTTTTTTCTTTTATTTTCTGACTAGAATTTTTAAACAAAACCATTTTTAAAAAAATTCGTTGTCCTAACTTTTTTTATAATTATATCGATTTTTTTTGTATTTTGCGGAACACTTTTTTAGACCCTGTACCAAAAAAAACATAAAACTTTACTTTTAGTTAATATGTTAATGTTTTTCAGACATATTTTTGATGGTCCACCTAGTTTTTAGCGTTTTTCGTAGTAAAAAATGTTTACGAGCTTGGCCAAGTGCCATGTCTTCTTTCAAACTGTGTTAAATTTCTATTGCTAGGTTAGCACCTTAAAAGTTAAATTTTGAAGAAAGTGCGCAAAAGTGCACTTTTATATTAACTGAGTATACGAAGAATTGATTAATATACAACAAAAAACAAGTTTTAGAGCTGGACTCAGCTGGACTCATTTTGTTGCTCTATTTAAAAACAAAAATTTACGATTACGCTTCAAATTTTTGAGGTTAGAACTTGCACAAGAATATAGGGACGCCACAATGAATTTTTAGAATTCAAGCTCACAAACACATATTACAAACCATTTTGAATCGACTTCCATTCACACATTTTACATAAATTGGTTTTAAATGCGCTTTTTGAACCTTTTAAAGTTTGAACAAATACAAACGATTTTACAGCATGTGCTTCTGTCAAAAATCAGCTGACTTTGACAGCTGATATCTTAACAGTGGTGCGGTCTGTTAAAATTTGAAGTATGTAACATTTTACCTCAATGTTATCTTAACTCATTGCAATTAACAAAAAAAATTTTTAACGACTTCTAAAAAATGGGTTTTGGCCACAAAATGTGGGCAAATGCCCCATAGTGCAATGACCAAAAGAGAAATTAAAACAAAGTAAACAACAGTGTTGCCAACTTGGCTATTTTCTGGCCAGATTTGGCTATTTTGCATGACCTGAAACTAGAAACCACTCAATTTTGCAGGAGCCTGTTATATTGGCTATTTCATAAAAAAAATGTGCTATTTTTTAGCTATTTTAAATAATTTGTAATATTTGATATTATTTATTTATTTATAGTAGACTAAAAAACCGTCGACCATCAAATTAAATTTTCGGAAATCGTATGTTGGCAATAGAGACGTTGTTTGTGGCTATTGATACATAGACACCATGTTTACCGCCCAGCGTGACCGAATTGTGTATTTTAAATACTAAAATATTATTTACCCTTTTGTAGCTTTTGGGTACTTCGTATTTTCTCAACATCGTTTCGCGCTCGCAATGCTACCATCTCTACATTCAAATTCACCGATTACTGTGTTTGTGCGGTTGTTTCTTAAAATGTATAAACAAAAAGTTCGCGATGCTTGGTTGGAGGATCCCCAATTTAAGGTCTGTGTTGCAAAAGATTTAACTAACAAATCAAAAGCATTTTGCAAATATTGTAAGTGCATATTGAATGCAAAGTTGTGAAACTTTATATAGCACGTTGAAACTAAAAAAAAAAAAATGCTGTTTTCAGTACGCCGTCCCCCATAAGTGCCTTTCACAGATTGGTACAATGGGAAAGAATTTGAGTTCCGAGGAGGTACAAATTGGGCAAATTTTAAGCAATTTGCTTAACGAAAAAGAATCATTAAAAAATCAACACTGAATGTACAAAAATATAAGATTTTACTATTGAAAACTAACGGCTATTTTAATTTACTATTTTTGAAGAAATGTAGTTATTTTTGGCTATTTTTTTGCTTCCACTGCTATAAATGACCACTCAGAGTTGGCAACACTGGTAAACAAACCGATCTGTCATAAATTTTATAATGATTCCCTGATTGCTAAGAAACTCATCTAATTTTAAAAAATATTTGCGCTCTGGGACTTTTGCTTGGTTTTTGGCGGTAAGGTTACCTCGACCCAACTGGATCTATTGTACCCCCTATCTGAGCTGAAAGCTCACCCATCAACCCGGTTCCTCCGATAAAGTTAAGGAGCTTTGTTGGGTCGATGCTTCCAGAGGTCCCAAGTGTAAGAAACCTGGACCCGAGGGTTCTACTCCTCAGGTTACTTAGTGCTGGGCAGTCTGATACTATGTGTAGGGAGGTTTAATCCTCGCTATCACAGAATCTGCATGTCTTGCTGTTTGCAATCCCTATATAATATAGGTGTCTCCTTAGTCTGCAATGTCCGGTTGGTAAACCGGTAACTACCCTAAGTGAATTCTTCCCTAGTGGTATAAGTTTCTTAAACCTCTTCATGTCATAATTGACGATGAGGATTTTGGCTTGTCTTTGGCTTGTGGTGTTCTTCCAGCAGGCTTGCCTCATCTGTACCTCTTCCTTTCTTAGGTAATCTTTGATTGTGGGTCTGCCTATGCCACAATAAGGTTCGGGTCCTATAAGGGGTCGTTCCGCCCCTAGATTTGCTAGCCTATCGGCTAGTTCATTCATGGATATGTCTTTGTGTCCTGGAATCTATCTTAATGACAGCCTGTTGTTGCTGCCCAGAAGGTTTAACTTTGTTCTTACTTCTTGAACTCATCATCATAGTCAAAAAGCCGCAATGTATAGGCGTGTTTTTCAATCGCTCAGTGAAAACTCCTATTTTACCAGCATCCAACTGCGAAATTATAGGCCCCCAACAAACCCCAGCGAAAATACGCTTTCCCATATAAAAAAAACCCTTGTGTTTACCTTATTATACCTAACATAAACAAATAAGCAGCCTGAAGCCAAAATGAGTGAGCGTTGCACTCAAACTCAGAGTGCGCGCCTTCGCTCAAGCATCAACAACGCTTACTTTACAGTAAAATCAACCGCCGACAACAACAGTGCACATAGCACCCTCTCAGTGCAGCCTCAGAGAGCACGCTCTTGCTCTCCCGCGCTTTTACAAACAACACCCAACAACAACAACCACAACCAAAACGGTACCACAAACACACCAGCCGCTCTCCCTAAGGAGCAATTATCTTGGAGCGAGCAAGGCACTTCACCGTTGCCCGCGATCTCTACTCTCCCGCTTCTAACATCGTCTCTGCCACTCTCCACAACATCTGCAACAACTACAACTACGACAGCACCCCTAACAACAACAACTACAACAAGCTACTCTTCCGGACCGTTCTGTTCTATTACAACAACAGTGGATAACACCGAACAAATTAAGCCGCAACTAAGTCAACAAAGCCTTAAACGGACTCGTGATAGACCGTCGCTTGGACAAGTAAACGAACACACGAACTCAACCAAAAAACAACGGAGCAAAAACCAAAGAGCCACTCAAAAGACACTCAAAGAGTACTAGCTAGCAGAACCACGCTCAAACAACCGCTTTGAGTTGCTGGCGCATGAGCAAGACGATAAAGCTCAAAGCGACAATGGGACAGATCGGAACCTAACCACGCAAATACCACAGCGAAAACCCAAACCTCCACCGATCTACGTACAAAATGTGGAAAATATTCACGCACTAACAACTGCACTTAACTCACTGCCCGAGACAAAGTTCGAACGAAAAGCACTCTCAACGAACGAAATAAAAATACAACCACAAGAAAGTAAAAGTAAAGTTACTTAAAGACAAAGAGACCAAATTTTACACGTACAGACCGAAAGATCAGAGAGGATTTAAAGTAATACTCCGCCACGTACATCATGCTACCGAAAAAAACGAAATAATTAACGAACTAGCCGACCTTGAGCACACAGTACTAAACATCCACAACATTCAACGAAATGACACAAAAAAGCCACTCCCCCTCTTCTCAATTGAACTTAAAACGCAAGACAACAATAAAGACATATACAAAATAAGCCATTTACTACACTGCAAAGTTTTTTTTTGAGCCACCGCACCAAAAACGTATAATACCTCAATGTACAAACTGCCAAAAATACGGACACACAAGAAACTACTGTACGAGAGATCCCATTTGCGTAAAATGCGCTGGTAAGCACCAATCAGCCAACTGCCACTTACAAATAACCACCTCTGACAAGAGCCAAATAAAATGCGAGAACCACACCTCCAACTATAAAGGCTGTATGGTCTACAAAGCCCTACAACTCAAAAAATATCCTAGTCTCCGGCAA